CAAAACCTTTTCCAATATAGTAATATAGCCAATGAATATACCTGCTTCTTTGGCCATATCAGGATAATCAAAGTTTTCCCTCCTTCCAGGTTTTTCAAAACTGAAATTATATCAATACATCTGAATGTAAGTACAATGTTAATGAAACAAAAAAAAGCATATTTGCATCATTTTTTATTTCATGCTATAGCTGTAACTGAATACTAAGAGTCTATATTCCAAATGAAAAATTCTTTAAAACCCTGCAAGTTCCTCCCCCAATTCAAATTACTAATGCATCTTAATTTTATTCCTCTTGCAATACAATATTAGCCTTAAAATTTGTCCTGAGGCCTGCAATTGTGCTTATTTCCAATAACATTAATTTTAAAGGCTAGGGCCACATCCCCAAACCTAAAATAAACCCCGATATGTATGTATACAAGCAAAACTATAAAATATACCAAGAAAAGTTTCCGGAATTGGACATATATAATCAACATACGAAAAAGTGAAAATAACCCCTCTGAGAGCTGGATGTCAATTCAGTGTCATTACTAGTGAAAATCAGCATATTTTGACTGACATGGCCCTCTCTGAAAAACTAGTAAATGTCAATACTCCTACATCTAAATAACAAATTTGAAGACTCAAGAGCAAATTCCAACCTCAGTAAGGAATTTAAAAAATTGTCAATAAAGTTTAATTGACAGTCAAATTTAATGTAAACTATTGCTAGAGCTATGATCGATTCATGTAGTTCCTTAAATGTTAAGTTGGTTAGCCCTAACTTTTCAAATATAATTGTCAGATGAAATAACAGCCTGTTCAGTGTTGTAACATCAAAACAATATATTTAATAATAATTCATAGGATGCCATAATTTGTTTCAATGACATTATATAATAAAACTGCAGTTACATGACGGCTATAATAAACTACTTTTCATAACTAAACACGAATCAACAAATACATTTTTTTACTTGACAGTTCATCAATTTCAAAGTTAACTTTTTGTGTAAAACTACAAAAAAAAATTCTTGTAATATGAGGTCAATAAAAAGTTCATTTTCTAAGGCTCAATTAACAAACAACCATACCTTAGTCATTCCAACACCTACAACATAAACTTTACGCTTCATTTTCAACTATCAAATACACGAATTTGCCAAGAAGAATAAAATGTATCAGCTAATTGCTACAAGTGCCTACAATGATCCACTTCTGCTATATGACAGCTTACGCATCCTATTTAATCTGTGACCTATCAAAGTCCAAACATGTGAAGTTTCAATGGGGATCACCTCAAAATAAATTTTAACTGCCAAAGTATTTGCTCCTTTTTAATATCTAAATTCATGTTGAAAATTTAGCATTGGTAGTGAAAATCACAAAATATTGTTAATACTATGGCAGCATTTCATATCCTTCTTTTGAAATAAATCATATAATAAACAATCTCTAAAAAAATGTTTAGAAACCTCAAGACATCCCATACTTTTGAAATGGCCCCTCATGAAATATGCGTTTCCAAAAATATTGAAAATTACAGAGGGGTTTGATTGTCATTTTTTCTAGAAATCATTCAAACAAATTTTTCGCAATACACAGGGCCATTTAAATGTTCAACCTTTGTCATCCCGACACCAACAACATAGACTTTTCTCATTTCTGTGTTTACACCGGGAGCAGCCATATTTGTGACGTCATGAATATCCCAATTAGGAACTATTTTCGAAGCTACTTAGTAATAATCCGCTTTAATAATTATCAAAGCTGCTTCCACTATATTGAAGCAAATGAAGCAGTAAAGAAATATTCAGTCAATACACCATTTCAAAGATAAATAAATTCCTATAGAGGTTGTTTACTTTCAATTTTTTGTCAAATTTGGAATTACTTTTTTGTTGTAGCCTTTTATAGCTACTGGAATCTTGTGGCTGATGTATTTTTGGCGGGGATCATTGTTATGGTTCGTTATATTTACCTCATTTTATATGAATTAACCTTGTTTTTATAGCTTAAATTTCCCTTGTTATTCAAAAGTTCAATCTTTTATTTATAGACTGATGCATATTGATTCAACCGTGTTTGCCTATTTTACTTGGAAAATCGCTGCCAAAAATTGGACAGGTGAGTTCACAAATCAATTTTCTTCCATCAAAATCGCGTCTAAATCAATAAATTTCTGCATCATATCAGTTTGCATTTAAATCACCAAGCTACATTCGATAGAACATATTATGCTGGTCAATTTACTGCATTCAACATTCTTGATATTTCTTTGAAAAGACTGCCATACTGCTGACCTACTAAGCATCTTTTTCTTCCTTTTGGAAATGCAGTGGGTGGGGAATAGTTGAAATTACTGGCTTATATACGATATTGGATTAATGATGTTGTAGTTCTACATTACGAGCGTATACTGTGTTATGTTTATTGTGACGTTAATTATTTTCCTGATATGAAGATTGCAGTGCTATATTTATATGTTTTTTAAAATCATTTAATTTTTTAGTTTAAATTTATGTTTGTTTGCATCTCTTTATTGAATGCAAAATTTTTAGTGTAACTGGGATCCAGACAGGGTTTTCATTTTTATCTGAGACACCAGATGTGGCAACGAAAACATCCGATTTGGTCAAGGGGATATTTTAATCTTCAGACTGAAAATGCAAGTGATTTTAACAGCATTTCAACCAATGATAATTGATATGGATCGCCAATTTGTTAAATTTGAAAAACCTGCAAGGGAATAGGGATGCAAATGCTTGATGAGAATAGTTTGACGACTAAGACTTCAACATGATTTCTAATAAAGATGACAAAAGAATATTCATTGTCCCAAGTTTTCTAGTTGGAATGAATTTCATTATAAAAAGAGAATAAACTAATATTGTATCATAGTTTTGGGACCTTTCTGTTGAAAATGTGTCAAGAGTTCAATCGTATACATATACATGCACAGTGCGTTAACTGGAGTGCAGGTATTAGTTACCCCCACTCCAGAGCATGCACATTGATTGGCTTATTTTTGCTGGGGTTTACTTATTGTGATGGAAGAGAAAGGGAAAGCGACAGAAATATCATATTCAGATGCTCGTTCATTGGTTACTTTTTCCGGGAGTTTTTTTTTATGTCATTTACCTTTTTAATAATGTTTAAGGCGTCTGGTTTAAAGCATCCTTTGCATAATATTGTAATTGCATTTTTGAATTGAATTAGTTTCATTGTTCATTTATTTCTTGTAATAGCTGCACATTAATCTACTGTATATATTTTACACAATTAAAAAGTACATGGAGTATAAACATAGATCACACGGAGCTGTGTGAATATTTTCAGTACAGGTATTGGAAGCGCTAAATCAGAATACATGTTCACTTTTCAAATACTTAAAAACCATAGATTTGACAATTTAACATAGTGAATTTGATTCTTAAATTGCAAAGTTTGGTTTGCACACTGCATTTGACCAGCAAATGGATCGCCTCAGTGATTTGTCTCATAAAAAGACCATTTGAGTTCCTTCTTCAGTCTCAGTCACATATCAAAATCAAATAAAATTACTATTAAAATCATTTAAGTCAGATTTATTAAGTCAAAGACATGAAAATACAGTGATGTGAATATCTGCATAATAGCATCAAAACAATTTGAATAGAGATTCACATGGTTATAGATAAGTAGGATGTTACAGTATGCAGTTGTAACAGATTATAATCAGTATCTTTTTCATCTTTTTGATTTGTTTCTATAATTACTCTGTTGGAAGAATGAATTGGATTTATATTTGATTATCATAAGATTTATTTATTTTAAGAAATCACGAAAGTGAATTTTGTAACAGAATCAAAATTGGTGATAGTGTCATAGCTGTTCACTGTCCAGTCTTGCAAAAAATTTGTTCAAATATGTGTCAGCATTGAGTCCGAGATCTTGTGCTGTTTTCTTTGATTTCATCTGGAATGCTACGCAAAAATCTTGTTCAAATATGTTATTGGCATTGATTCAGAGGTCTTGTGCTGTTGCCTATGATATCAAGTCTGGAGTAGCATTCCAGTGGCTTTAATAGTTCATTGATTAAGTTGAAATAGTTAATTATGGAGAGAATGTCGAAAATAATCTCCACATATGGCTTCAAGACTCTATAAAAAAGTTTTAAAAAATTTAATATTTTTCAGCCGGACCTTTAAAATGATTGTAGTAATACTAGTATGTTTCACCAGCTTCTGCATGACACCCTTTTAAAAGCAAGCAACATATTCTAAAAATTCATTTGGCCCTTCTACTTAGATTGCTTATTACAGCATGATATGTTTTGTGAAGTTCTATATGGATGAATTTTATCTCGGTGCCTTTTTTGCATAAAAAACTTGGGTTGAAATTAGGCCAAACTATTAAAATATCAAAATTTTGTTAAGAAATTTCCCTGAAACTGTTCAATTTTCATGTGATCAACTCAATTTTAGGTATATATAGCTTTTAATGAAATTGACAATATTATTTTGAAGAAGTGAATTTTTCATAATTTAAATACTGTGCTTACTTTTTCCAATATATCAGGCATGGGTTGTTGCTAAAAAAGTAAAATCACTTACTTCTGGGTATAATTCATTCAGTGTATGTATTTTAATCAACAAAGCCTTCTATATTTATACTGAAATATTTTTGTATAGGTTTATCACATATTTAAAAACAAACAAACCGCCATCGTGGTCGAGGGGTTAAAGTCGATGACTTCTAATTCAGTTACCTATCTTGCGTGGGTTTGATCCCCGGGAGATTCTTTGGTAGTTTAGCACGGAGGAAGGTTGTCTAGTACTGGTGTAACTCTCCAGGAACGATGGTTAGGAAACTACCCGTCTATTTGACTGAAATACTGTTGGGAAAAGGCGTAAAATGAAACAAGCAAACAAACAAAAAAAAGACCTGGGTATTTAACTTTAAAACTCAAATCTCGAGGTATTGGGTTGTTTTTTCCCATATTTTCCTTGGTTAACCTCTTGGGTCATCAATTTTAAACAATTTTAGGTTTTTTTTCATGCAGAGTTCGGGGCCGTAATTGTGCTTCATTTTTAAAGCCAGAGAGTATCTCTTTCCAGGCCAGCAGAATCTGCTTTTGAATTTTCAATTTTTTCTTTTGTCCATATGTTATTTATAATGCACATTCTGGAAAATTTTCACTTGTCAGGCAATATGGACAATTGATTAAGCGGCGGCTGACTTTCTCATATATATTTTTTAATGAACATTTGCAGTTGCCAGTTTGTTCAAATTTAAACAAATTAGAATATAAATGTAGTCACAGATCAGGATTGTCAGGTGTGGTTGGCAGGATTGTCAATTAGTTGTAAACATTAGAAACATAGACATCAAACAATGTGACTTTAATTAGGTGTTAGTCAATCAATTCACAAAAGAAAAAAACACACAGAAAAACAGACGGTCTTTTAAAAGTAATTTCAAATAAAAAATATTTTGACAGTCTGAGAAATAAGGCACAAGCCTGATGCCCGTGTCTGGCCTGAAGAAATTCAAAGATCGTAAGCCCGACAGGCCTTTTAATTTAGAATGTGTTTTCATATAAAATTAGTTTTAGCCTCAATATTTTTTTAATAATTATGTAAACATCTTTAGTCTATGTACATCAAGTAAAATTTGTGCAATATGTCATTCAATTATGCATGTTCTGTATTTTTCGCCCTTAGCGATTTAATAGAGTAAATATACGAACAATGTCTGATTATAATCGTTAACATTGGTTGTTTAAAGAACGAGTTATTGTAAATTTCCTTTGGAATATATTTATTTTTAGATTGACCTGTGAACAAGAAACACGAATCAGCTACATTATACTCTGAAGCGAAAACCGGGAAAAGAGACTTATTGAAACTGGCTAACTGATTTTCCGTCCCTTTGTGCTGGAATTGAACCTTGTTGATGTGGGGAAAAAAACATAAAATAAACCATTGTCAATTAATGTTTTGGGCCTGTGATAATCTGTCCGGGCCTATACTTTCGCCTAGGTTGAAGGCCCAAATGGCCTATGATATAGAAAGGTTATTTTGCAGACTGTTTTGAGAGACATTTTGCTAATCATACATCATTTACTTTTTATTGAAATAAAAGCACTATGGCCATAATCATACTACTACAATCATTAAAACAAAATATTTTTAATGGTGGACTCTTACTTTATCCTCTAACAGAATAGGCCCCTTTGATGTAATTGAATCTTTCAACAAGAAAGTGCCATGTTTTATTATCAACATTTGTTTTCATTTCAGATGTGAGTTGGTAGTAAGCAATCATTCAACATGAATGGTGAGGTACCAAATGTTCCCATCACCACCTTAGCAGGGATAACAAGTCTAACAGACTGTAAGTATAACATTGATAGTCCCTTATTGTAACCCACAAGCCTGAAGTCCAGAGTTTAATCCTTAACCTACTGGAACGGAAAGAGATCAGCCTTGCCACCAGTATAGGGCCTATCCAACCTGCACATCTGTGCAGTCTGAATCTCTGATCAGGCCCTATACTATTGGCTGACCACATATTCCAATTTTATCTTGATGTTCCAAAATCAATAATGGACTGTCTAAAAATTGAAAATGAACAAATATATTTAAGAAGTTAAGCAAGTTAAAGGGTCAGTAAGTAACCAAGTTTAGTTTGGACTGAGACTTTATGTATGCTAGCATAAATTTTCATTTCAAAATAGTTTTAAGTCTTGTAATCTTTTAAACAGTCATAAAGCAATAAAAAATAATATGTCTGTTACATATGTCATTCAGAAAATAAAACAGAAAATTGGTAATTTTTTTGATTTGCAGCTGATTTTGTCTTTCCTCAGGGTTTTTTAAACTTGGCTATTAGAAGAATAGGGTAGGCTATTGTACTTACCTTGGCATCTGCATTGGCGTCACATTTAGGTTAAGTTTTTTCATGCAAGTTGGTTTCTCAAAAAGTACTGAAGGGAATGGGTTGAAACATCACATAGTAATTTGAGAGCATAAAAGGATGTCACTGACCATGCCCCATAACTGTAACATGGATTTTGTCAGAATGATTCAGGGTTCTCACTAGGATTTTAAAACATGGAGTCCATGGACTCCCAACCCTGAAAAAGTTGGAATCCAAAAGCACGTCGCAATTAATATGTTTACAGATTAGTCATTCAATGCTCACAATAGCATTGCTGATATTTTGAATCTTCAAGAGACTTCCAAAGTTTATAGTTATTCACTGCAAATAGTACATAGTATAATTATTGTTTTGTTTTTATTTATTATGAAATTATTTCATTATAATGCATCAACACATGGAAATCGTTTGTTTGTTGGTTTTTTTCACTTTTATACCAAATCAAATTTTATTCTGGTTAAATAAGTCCACTTTAAAGACAAAAAGTTTATATTTGTAAAAAAAACATAAATGTATATAGGCAGAGTTTAGCGGAATGAATAGGAAAATCGTGTACATTCTCATACAGTGTGTAAGAGATTCATCCGATCGACAATTATTTTAGCAATATCTTCAAAAGGGGGCAAATTGAAGATCGATATTTAAAGATTTAATGTTGATTAAATAATAAAGGAACAATTCATTTGCATGTTTGGCTTGGAAACCGAGAATTTTTGCGAAATTTTAGGGTTTCTGGCGAACGTGAAATCGCCAATGTTCATGATCAATTTCCGGATAGAATGTTCGTATGTGTATTTTGGTTTGTTGTCCTGGCTTTTCGGCACAATATCTTAAATTCTTAATATGCTTATCGAAGGTTTGTGCAAGAATGAAACTAAAGCAAAATTGTGCATAGAAAATGCCGAAAATATTCGACGATCATTCAAAATTACACTCATTTGTAATTTGAGAAAACAGTCTTTAAACTTGCGGCGTAAATAGTCGATAGTTTTATCCTTTTGTCGGAAAAATTTGCTAATTTCCAATCAACTGTTGATCAAAGATATAAAATTATCACCTCGTGTTATATCTGGTAATTACATGTACTGTACAGCGCGTGTATACATTAGTCTGATCACTATTGCGTGATAATGATCGTAAGCGTAATCGCTGATTGGCTAATCGCTTCACGGGTTGATGTGCATTGGACCGCCTACCTATAGACTGACACGCGCTGACGCATTTGTGTATTTGTGGTTGTAAACAATCGGTAATGTTTATGCGTCCCCAGGCAAAATTAAGCGTACGTGGAATCCTTGCTCTGAAATATTTGCGTCCAGCTGTAATAAACATGCGTACCGGGACGCCGAAATAAGCGTCCCCGAGAACCCTGATGATTGCCTCTTTTTGATAATTTTTTTTTATTATGCAAACTGTAGTTTTACTTTCAACCTTTGGGAATAGTCAAGCACTCTGTCCTACTTACAGCTAAAAAGTTTTGTACAACTTCTCAAGAAAGGTTTTAGAACTTGTAGTGGATTATTCCTGGATTATGTTCCTAAATAAAATATAAATATCATCAGTAAGGTAAACATTTGCACTTCACAGCTGTTGAAAACTGATATCTTTTTAGTTTGCTAAGAGGTTGCTAGTCTATAGTAGGTTGCTTTCATTCATGATTTTTTTCAGCCCAAAATAATTCTTGGGTGTAGTACTAGATGAATCTTCCTTAATTTTGCAAAGCTGTGAAGTTACTACATTATGACCTTATCAATGAATTATGTTGTTCAATTTGTTGTGACTCTGAACTCACAAATTAAATGAATGCATTGTAAATTGTTGTGTTAAGATTTATTGAATAATGATATTGGTTTCATTTCAGTGTTACCTGAACTGCCCCTGCCAACTCCATTGCCAAATGCCATAAACAATAAAAGTCTTCTTCACAATTCCAAATTGTCGGAGAAGTCCCGGAAACTATTAGAAGATGCAGATGATGCGTTGGTTGAACAAATATCAGAAATTCTCAGACACAGTGCTACAGATGACATGCAAGTTTTGTTTATTCTTTTTCAAGTGTATAATATAACTAAAACTTAAACACACCTGGTTCTACTTGACTGATAAAAATAGAGCATGAAATGAGGATAGACTGAGCTTGTCTGAAAGATGAAATGTGATCATACCTAAACTTAAAAAATCTGTTATAAAGAGAATCACGTAGTTAGAAAAATTCAGTTGTTTACTGGTCAGGTGACTTACATTTAGGAAATGTATTTATTGAACTACAGACATACTGTCATGTGATGAAGATTCTTTTTGCCAATTTTCATAGCAAATTTTAGTTTATTTCTGAACATTCAGATTGTATCATAACTGTCACAGCCAGGGTGTCCGTTTGACCCTTGAAATGACTCTTTGACCCTTCAAATTTCCAAGAAGCCTGATTTGACCCTCAGGATTTTAACTTGAGGGTCAAATTTTGTTAAAATTATGGGGATTGGGCCTTGAAGTCAGTAAAACTTAGTCAAAATGACCCTCTGGTAGATGTTTAGCTGGGAAGTATGTTTTCTTAGCCTCTGACCCTCTTATACTGTGTAAACTAGTATTGAACATTGATATAAAAAGTCAGATGTTTAATTATATATTTCTTGTATGTGTTAAAGCATCTTAAAAAGACTTAAAACATATATCATATTTTATTTAAAGTTAGCAAACAGTTTGTATGATTCTGATTACAGTGAACTCAAGGATGACCTTGAAGGGGCTCCTGTTGATGGTGAAATGTCGGAGCTCCTTAGAGCCATTTTAGCAAATGACCCAGAAGTGTTTTCTGGGGGATCAAAGGAGAGATCAAGTATGATCCTTTCTTCAGTATTTAATTTCATCTTTCAAGTACTTAGTATTTTTGTTTTTCCATGACACATTGTCAAACAGTCAAGTTTATAGAAAGTTATCAAACAAAGTTCACATTTTCTTAAATGTTTTCCATGGAATAAAATGAACAGCTAAATAATAAATATGTAATCAGTATTTGTTTTCGCATATCTGACAGTTTAACTTGGAATGTTTAAAGTTCTTAGTGATATTTCAAAGTAAAATGTCATGAAGTTCTGAATTTCTTTAGTCAGCATTGTATTTTTTCTGTAACTTAGGGAGAAGCTCTGGCAGAAGTCCACACAGTGGAAACCATTCACCTTACCAGTCACACTCTCCAAGGTAAGTTGTTGTATAACTCAAATAAATATACAGAAATCTGCTGGTTTGCCTTTTGTTAAAGTTCTGTTCAAAGAGTGTTCGATCTATCCAACTCTACCTGGTCATTAAATATGACATTACATTATTTTTACATCATTCCATATTGAAAGCTGCTTGTTTTATACTTAGATATTAAAAGCTTAAAAGACTTATATTGATAGTTAAAAAGAGATATTTGTTTGAAAACATGCATTATGGTAAAATGTGAAAAACAATGTTTGATTTTATTGCTAGTAATTTTAGTGTACATTTGTACAAAGAGCAGTTCATTATATCCTAAGTTCTTGCAGCAGCTAGGGCTGGCATAAGCAGATGGCTGTAGGTCAAAATAACAGTCTCAAATGCATTTTGGGCCAGTTCAAAACTTTGAAATCACTCTTTGTTGTATTTGATGAAACTGAAGATGACCACCTTAAATTCAAAATGGTCTGTAGGCTTACTGAATATGTTTTGGTATATATGAAATGTTATATCTTAATGTGTTATGTTCTTCTTAGGATTGGTCTTCCAACTGGGAGTGGATCTTCAAGTCTTCAGAAATCACCCTCTCTTCCCCATCAACAGCCAGGTATAAGAATATGTCTTATTATTGTATAGACAAATATAAAATGTATTTATCCTGATGAAATGTAAAAAAAAGGTTACATATGCAGTGTTATGTCTATTGATAACAAATCATGTTCCGATGGAAAAGTAAAAGTTAGCATTAGCTGGTAAATTATTTAAAATGTTGGGTCTTTGTTTGAATTTGAATTAACTTTCATAAATTCTATTTCCAGGCTCATCAAATTACAATGGTGAACATTATGATAAGCGACACAAACATAGCAAGCTGTCATCGGCAGTCAGTAAGTTGTGCTGCACATGTTTCAAATTGAATCTTAATTGCCATCATTTATGCATGTTGTTATGCATATAAAGTAATAAATACATGTTGTTTACCTTTCATGCTTTGTTGTGAGAAATAGTCATGTCTATTATGAAGGAGGCAGTAAATTTACATGAAATGTACTTTAAGAATGTTACTGGAACTCCACTTGTTTTAAAAATATTTGAATCCTTAAATGATTATTTTTTCAGTGAGTTCTCCTGCCCAGGCAACAGTTGCAGAATCTGCAGTGAGACAAACAGTAAGTTGAATATTTTACATGTGATTGTCATGATTTAAACAAACATTGATTAATTATGCATGTTCAGTAACTATTGTTCTATAGAAATCGTGCAGTGGTGTTCTCTTTGCTCATTGTTTAAAAATTTTGTTAATATTTTCCCTGTCAAGGTAAAACTTGGAGAGGACCTCAGTTTCATGGGGGCAACAAAAACAATTTTCAATATCACCTAGGTTGTCTGCCTGTCTGTACGTCAAAGTGAAATTTTCCATAAATTTTTTACAAATATGATATGGACAAGTAAAGAAATGGTTCAAATAATAGAGACAAGTAAGTTATGTTCAGATTTGCCTACCCCAAGTGCTATATGCAATACTAGAATAATTCCTTTATTCAGTTCAGAACTATAGAATTTTTTATCTCTTTATAATCATTTATATTTTTGCAATTTCAGAGCAGTAGAAACTCTGGATTAATGGATATAGACGATAATAGTACTGATGGGGGATCTTCACATATATCACGACAGAATAGTAAAGAATATGATAGAAAGGTAGGTGAATGATGTATTAATATGTCTATGTATCAGTTAATTCAATTGTCACCTAAGGAGTTTCAGTTTTGAATTTACATAACCCATGACCTTATCAATGAAAATGATATATACAAGATTTAGGATCTCTAATTAGTAAAAATTGAATCGAAGTAATTCTTTTCCAATGATTAAAGATTGTCAAGTGTTCCCTGCATGTGTTAATTTTTGTAACCATTTTGTTCTCAATGGGTTTTAAAACCATATAGGAAGATTTAGTTTACCTATCATTTAGGGAAAAGGTAGGCTTAACCGAAACAGAAAAAAGGCCGGCAATTTAAAGGTACATGTATATCAGTTAAAGTTCTGCCGTTTATATATGCATTGTTCATTGATTTAAAATTATACATTTATCTATAGTCTCTTTTAGTATATGCTACAATCCAGCCATTTCATGATTAAATTCAGCAAACTTATTTTGACTTTCAGTATATAGTATATGAAGGCAGAAAAGAATTGACATGGCTATTTAGCGCTTGTGGTCAAATCATTACTCACTTTAAAAGCTTGTCTTTATGTAAATGAATTGTGCCAAAAATATTTCACAGAAAGATCTTACCATAAAATTAAGTAGAAATTTTTACCTAAAAAAATACAGAAATTGAATATTTTGAAGTTTTAACGGTACATTTAAACATTCATAAATCATTAAGAACAATGCATATATTATTTAAGTTCAACACCGCTTTTGTTGCATTAGAAATTTTCTGTTCTGTTATAATTTTGTTAAAACTTGAAAGATTTTCACTGCTGTTAGCCTCTTGGTGTTGCATTATTTAAAGTTGCATTATGTTAAAGATGTACAGCATTTAGCTGTATTTTGATAAATGTTAGTGCTGCAATGACCTTTTTTTTGCCTTGTTTGTGTAAAGTGTTTGGAATTTTCAGATTTTTTTCAGTTTCAAGAATTATAAGGTTTTTTATATGTGAGGGAAAAACCCATGGTCTTGGTTTTAAGGAATGTAAAAGCATGTTTAGGTAAAGGCAGTGAGAAAAAATTACCATATTTTAAGTAGAATTGCATGATTTTGTAGAAAATTACCTTGAGAAAATGGCCTGTTTTGTAGAAAGTTGTGTTGAAAAATTGCATGATTTTCTTGAAACTTTCCATAATAAAGTGGCTTGCAGAAAGAATAAAAAACAAGCTGTGCTTGGTCATAAAATTCTTCAACAAATGTCTAAAGCATCAAGTATATTTTTTTATCCTTAGAGGTCAGAAGAGAAGTCAAGAAATGAATTTTGGGTAGAGAAAATGAAGGCATCCGGAAATCCTGTGGTGTGTCTAGAGCCCTTGGAGACAAAGGTGATTGTTTTGAACTCAATCATATTTTCCTCCTTATATTTTTGTATTTTCTTAATATTGAATAGGTAAATACAGCACAAACTTTTTATAAGACTGTGTGAGTGATAATACAAGTTTTTACAGCATTCAGTAAACATTCTTGTTTCTTGACTGTTACAATTTACAATTTAGTGAATGGGCCTTTAATGGCCAAAGGCTTTTTACTTTGAATCAGATATCTTGTGCCATTATTGTTTACCTATGGATAGAATTCTTTCTAGCTAGCATACAATAGGTTGATGGTTCAACTGAAGGGTCCGCTTATGTCAAAGCTATCATATGATTGGACAATCAATTTCTCATTCTCCTAATAGTAAAAGCTTATAAGTATTCATATGACCTGAATGACAATGTAAAAGAGATTTAGTAGAAAAAGTTCTAATAAGTAGTCGTAACTGTTCATTTCAGAAGGATGATATTTGGAATAGCAAGTGTAAGCCTGTTCGTGTTTCCCTGGAACCATTAGATGAAAGGGTAATTTTTTCCTTGTTGATAGAAGTCTTTTTGTCTGTGTAATTGATACAGTATTACCAAGCATGTGAATAATTTGATGAAAACAAATCACTGTGTAAAGCTGGAAAGACATCATATTGCATTAATAGTGTTGGCTTGATTTAAAACACAACAAACATTTTAACAAATAACTTAAATTGTAACATGTATTTTCAGGTTTAGCTAGAATACTTTCCTGTATCACATTTGTCCAGGGTTTTATATAGAGGGAGGGTGCTTATTTTAAAATCCTGCTATATTTTTGGCATATTGTAGATAAATGAAATGACACATGGCTGCATGTTGTAGATTTGGTTCTGATGTTTACAGTGCTTTTGGTTGTGCACCTCGTGTTTGCATTTATCATTATTATTATTTGAAGAAGCAAAAACAACAACAACAAAAAAAACACGGCATAATTGGAATGTTTTTAAAATGCATATTATTTTAGTTGATTGTACTTTAACTTTTTTCCTGCTTTCACAATTTTATGTAATTTTGTTTATTCACCTGATTTTGATCATTGAACAGGATCCCAAAAATGAGGTAGTTAACAGCATAACATGTTGCATGACTGTTGTCTATTTTAATACATTTTCATATTTTATAGTTCTTTTTTTTTGTTATTTATCAGCTATCAAGGACCCAAACAAACAAAAGTAGTTATTGACTGATGGTCGTGAAAAGTCTAAATTACATTATGAAGAGATGCATATGTATTAAAAATTAGAAGACTAATTTGCTCTTAAACTCTTTATTTGGAAAAGAATATTGATGCAAAAAAGTGGAAGTACATGCTTGTTAATAATGAAAGGGTCCTTATAGTTGGTTTTTCAGTTCATAAAATGATCTCCATTTAAATTTCCATTGATCTTTTAAGTCTTAATAACACTTAATTTAATAAAATTGTGATGTAATTTTGACCTGTATTCTGTTTATAAATGGTACATGTGACATTCAGAATCATCAAACATGCATTTATAGAAATTGATAAATAATGGAGGTCATTTTTATTTATATTTCTTTGAAATGTTTACTTTCATTCTTGGGTACACTTGGCAAAGGATAGGAATTCAGGGGTTTCATTATCAATGTAATGTAATGGAAATGTTCTTTTACAAATGTACTACATTAATTTTGTTTCTGGTTGGTGCTCCAATACCAGCCTATTTAGAAAAAAATAACTTGGCTTTTTAAAATTACAATGAAACCCATTGATTGGGAGATTGGAAAAATAAATAAAGGCACATAGATATTGTTATTTTTTAAATTACTCTGTTTTATAAATTGTTTAACTAACAAGTTATTTCTTATTTTAACTGACAAATGTTCCCTATCAGTTCTGTTAATGATTATTATAATTTTAAGTAAAATGGTCCTATACAAATTAAGAAAAATGTGTTTAAGCAAGTCAGCAGCCCCTTTAAAGCATTAATACTATTATCAAATGCGTGTAAGCAAATAAGCTAACTTTTTTGTTACAATTATAAAAAGACTTATCATCATCAAATTCACTTTTTCCATTAGATTTCAAAAGCATTTTAATAGTCTTACTTCTTTGTTTTATTTTCATTGCATTCTGAAAGATTTGGTAAACTCTTATTTAAAATCAGAAGTTCTTATGAAATAATCATGTTTCACATGCAAATCATTGCATTCTGAAAGATTTGGTAAACTCTTATTTAAAATCAGAAGTTCTTATGAAATAATCATGTTTCACATGCAAATATTCTTTCGTTCTTTCAGACGTTAAAGTCCATCGCATCAGGTGGAACGGGTATGTTAATTTTTATCAAATAATGCTTAGATGATTGTGCATTTATTATATCTTTATCTCAAAATTTATATACATTAATATTACATCACCAACAAATTACTCCTTAATTGAAAACAATCGTACATTATATGCTTGATTTTATAATTGATGAAAAACTAAGAAAGGGTCAGCATATGTAAAAGGATTATCATTTTTCTTTCCAGTGAAAACAAAGGGATTAAAAAGGCATGGGGAGTATGAGAATGATCGTTTAAGGAAGAGAAGACGGTCTGGTAGAACAGAGGACAGTGAAGATAGTGATAATGATGCTGTGGAAGAATGTAAGACACCTTTGTCAAAAGAGACATTTTATTTATGTCAGATATTAAATTTTGTAATTTTATAAAGTTGATGCTTTTCGTGAATTGTGTTATCTGTAAGGGAAAGAGGAAGTAGAATCTTTGTCTCAGAGTGAAAAAATATGCTTTGTGTCTATTTCTGTAAATAACTCGCACATAAAAAGCTTGACATTTGTTAATTAAATTTGCATACACTTAGTGTCTGGTCCATTTGCTCTCAGGGTTTTCATAATTAACAGATTGGTGATCCATATTATCAGTTGGAATGTTATACTTTCAGTCGGTAGATTAGAATATCGCCAATGGCCAAATCAGTTGTTTTCGTTGGAAAATATGATGCCTCAGATAAAAATAAAAACCCTGAGAGGAGATGCTCTCTGAAATGGATACATCCCAAAAGAAATTATTAAACATTTTATCTGAAGCATCAATATTGGTTTTAATATACACTCAGTACAAAAAGAAACGCAAACTGTATATATACCTGGTCATCACCCATAGTGGATGTGGTGCAGAAAAAACTTCAATACCTTTTCAATATTTCATCCATGCTTTATTCAATAGCACAACAATTTCATTGATACCTGCAAAATTACGAAAGTTCCAGCAGTTTAAACACAGCGCTATTGATCACGAAAATTTCAGTTTCAATACCTTGTGTGTCCACCCCTAGCATTGATAAGCGCCTGGCAGCGGCGACGCATAGAGGTCACTAACATAGCAATGGATGCCTGGGGAATGTTATTCCACTCCTGCACTGCGACACGACGAAGTTCCTGCACCGTCTGGGGCTGTGGCTGATGCTCATAAATGCGACGTTTTAGCTCGTCCCATAAGTGTTCAATAGGCGCCATATCTGGCGACATTGCAGGCCAGTCTAGCACATTGATGTGGTTCCGAGCAAGAAAGTTTTGAGTCAAACGTGCTGTGTGCGGGCGAGCGTTATCCTGTTGAAGTGTCCCATGTCCCTGAAAATGACCGTTCATGTACGGTACGACAACAGGTGCTAGAACATCATTGACATAGGTCTGAGCATTGACATTACGGTCGAATTCTACAAGATCTGTTCTTCCAAACTGTGACATCCCTGCCAATATGTGAATGGAGCCACCACCCCAACTATTAAAAGTCTGAATACAGGCTTCGGCATAACGCTCGTTCCTGCGCCTCCAAACACGTGCACGACCATCGGCTCTGCTCAGCACTATTTAGTTTCGTCAGAGAAAAGTACCCTGCTCCAGAATCTACGGATCATTCTTATGTGCACTCTAGCCCACCGTAGTCGATCCCGTTTGTGACGTGCAGTGAGACGTGATGCCTTGAGGGGTCTCCTACACCTCAAACCAACTTCCTTAAGCCGATTTCGAACTGTGTTTGCGTGTATACTGCGCCTGAAAAGTAACGCAACGTCTCAAAAAGGGCAAACCTCATCAAAATGTGAACAGCTCAAAATTTGATAAGAGGAAGAATTTCGGAAAGATAGCAATATTTTCACCTACCCGTGAGTACCTATTATTTGTCTAGCTGTAGAGGATGCCGCTTCGAATCGATGACGTAGGTGCCCCACTCGAATATTCACATCCTGTCTCCTAGTGGTTATTCGTGGTCGACCGGATTTTGGTAAGTCTTTGACACTGCCAGAGGCATTGTACCTATTCTGTAGACGAGTGATAGTGCTAACATGACAATTAAATCGCCGTGCAACGTCAATCTTCGAAACACCAGCTTCAAGTAAACCAATTGCTTGATTCCGCAAATGTTCAGCAAGGCGCGGCATGGTTATAAAGTACTGACAGTTCAAATAAACTTGTTTTTCATGTGTACTGATTCATCACTACACGGCTACATGTATAGAAACTATCGGTAAACTATAGAGCACAGTGTGCACGTGGAAATGTGGTTTGTACAGTTTGCCGTTAAACTGCATTGAGGGAGGTTAAAAATAATGCCGTTTTGTACTCAAGTTAACAATAAAATGTCATTGAGAATATTAAAGGGAAAATTGTTTGTCCAAATTTAGTATAAACCTAAAAAAATGAAAAATGAAAAAGTTGCGTTTCTTTTTGTACTGAGTGTAATTATATTTCATTGTACGAATTTAATTGTTTTTACCTAGCAATTTATTACTTATTTCTTGTACATTGTAGTGATGCGTCGCAAAAAGAAAGAGAAGCGACAAAGGCGTATGAATCAAACTGACCTCAGCATAGAAGAGCTTCTGGACAGTCCAACTTTCAAGAAGTTCAGCACGGCTTTGGAGTATATATTTGACAGTGCTGAAGATATCAATTTTGGAAGTTTAGATCCAAGTGAGTTAATTCGTTGAATATCAATAAGTCTTTAGTATTGTAGAGATAAAAGCTTACACAATGGTTACATTTCTGAATAGAAAAGAAAATTTTGCTTAAAGTGTAAACTGTAATATTTTATTTCTCTTCCTGTTTGTGTTCCATTTTGTGATTGTAGCATTGATGACTTAGAAGGAGATTAAGGTGAGTGCAGGCTACATGGTAAAAGTGTTTTCCTCTTAAGTCAAAGATTTGGGGTAAACATACTCAAACTCTACTTGAGTCATGACCATATATCATCATATGACACCAGTGCTGGTTCTCAGAGTGGTTGAAATAAGCTGCAAGCCTTCTTCACACTATACCTGAAATGACTGTTGTTTGAAATTAAATTAAGTCATGTTAAGGTTTCTGTCCACACTCTGAAATAAAATAATTTTGTACACCATTTTCACTCAAACAAAATCTTGAAAACGAAAATTTGATTTTAATGATTATATGACATGGTTTTTCCTATTACAGATGATGAAGAAGTTGAATGTCCTCCCGAGTCGTTGATAAGTCGCTCAGTTTTGTCTGAACTGACCAGTGAAACAGCTAAGTTGAAGTCCATGGGTGTGCTTAACCAAATTCCAGCAAATACACTTGTAAAACTGCTGACCATATTACAGTGGAATATCAGGGATGGCACGAAACTGTTACCAAGTCTTAACCAGGTAAATTGATTTCTTGCATTCTAACTTAAAGTTAAAAAATACTTGAGCATAAAGTATGATGGAACTGTACCAATGTATTTAGTTGATGCATTCATTTGCAATAGGTAATTGATAATGTTAATTGTTAGAGAAACAGAAATATTTCAAACTTTCTCTGTTCTTTCTAGTTCTCTGTTTTTTAAAGAGATATGTCATTTATAAATGACATTTAAAAAAACATCTTACTAGCTGTAAGGCTGATGGTTCTTCTTAGGTATGGAGGAGTATTTTTTCAGTTCTCCAGACTACTACCCCCCTCCCCAAACCCACCAGTAAAAAAAACCCTGAAAGATTGCCTTTACTCTGTGGATGTGACATTGGACCATACAAAAAGAACAAATGCATAAAAGTATTTGATTCACATTCACTTGATAGTTTGCATATAGTCAGTGTTTGAATGATATTTAAAAATAATATCTGATAAATATGGAGATTCCTGGACAGCAATAAAACAAAGAAGATGGCTAACTATGGCAGACTCAGTTTTATCCAGTCTGTTTAAGAGATCATGCCCCAAACTACTTGCTTAAGAAGTAGACTTTTTTGGGGGAAGAACTTATAAAAAGGTGTATTTTGATTTTGAAAGGAAAATGAGGATGAGGATGAAGAAGGTCAGAAATTGTGGAGAGAAATTGCCATGGAGAGAGTTGGTAGATCCATTGATGCAGCACTTACAGCCATATATATCATGACATCATCCAAAATGCCAAAGCAAGTGTTCATAGAAGATGTCATAGATAGAATAGTCATGTTTGGCAAGTTTCAGCTACAGAATACCATCTACCCTGAATTTGATCCTGTATATAGAATAAATCCCAAAGATAAAGGTATATGCAAGTTAAGAATGTACTTAATGTTTATCGGAGAAATGTTAAATATGTTCATTCAAAATCTGAAATTTTAATTCACAATATTTTTCATCTGTTAACAAGTAAAGTAAATAAACACTAGAGCAATCTACAAATCTGTTCACTAGTAAAATGAATCCAAATAGTAATTTTAAAAAAAGAGATACTTTGATATGCAAATCATTTTACAATTTGAAAGTTGAATGAACTGCAGACAAAACATGTATATTTCAGATGGATATCATAGTAGTTCAAAGATGAAGCGATCTCGTGCAAGCCAAGTGAAACACAAATCTTCAATATCATTATACAATAAACTGACAGACCTGGTTGGGAACCTGGCAGAACTTGTAGAAATCCAGGAGCTTACAGACACCATTATATTACAGGTACATGACTATTTACATTCTGCAGCTTTGATGTTGGATAATATTTCATCACAATTTAGCGTGATTAAGTCTTCTTAATGAAAATTTGGTTTTAAATTGTCTTGCTGATTAAATGAATTGATTGAATTGGAGTAAGACATACTGTACATTTGTTTGATAATATTTCATCACAATTTAGCCTGATCAGTCTAAAATAAAATTTAGTTTTAAGATTGTTCCTAAGTCTAATGAGTCCTACTAATTGAGTGAATTGATTGATATAGATTAAGTGCTTTTAAATCATTTGACATATTACGAGTTTACTAATGTTATCTTTAAATATTGTATTTACTTTCAGATGTCAACTTTGGGTGTTGCTCCTTTCTTTGTTGAAAATGTTAGTGAATTGCAGTTGAATGCAATGAAACTTGTTACAACTGTAAGTATTTCATGTAAAGTATTTCACAGCCCTGTCCTTGAATTTGTTTGTTTGGGTGGTTTTTATGCTGATTTCAACACATCTTTGGTCAATTTGCTGGTGGTCCACCTTATGGACTTTCCTTGATAACTAGCCAGTAATTACCAGTTTCACTGCTAGTGACCGGCTACTAAATCACACATGATTTCAGTTTAGTGTTTAGAGACAAATGACCAAGATAAATTGTCATGAAGAAATTATGCCTTGCTTCGGATCGAACCAGCCTCTCTTGGATTTCTTATCTAATATGCTCTTCCAGAAGAGCTAAGTGTGCAGACAGTGATAAACTTTAAAAATTAATGTAAACACTCTTTTTATTTTCCTTAAACAAAAAAAAAGGCAATAATACACATTTTATTTTGTACACCTAGAACAGGATAATGTGTCTGTAGTGATGAAGTGGTGTAAGTTCTTGAAGGATTTCTTAAAATAAAGGCTTGGAAATGATTTTTTTTTATGATGAAGAAGAAGAAGAAAAAAGGGTTATTTGACTACTATACAATAGATACTTAAGAATGTAAATATCTATTACAGGTGTTTGCTCATTATGACAAGCACAGGCAATTAGTGCTAGAAGATATATTCTCAAGTTTAGCAAGGCTGCCTTCCAGTAAAAGAAATCTCAGAAGTTACAGGTATAGTTTGCCATGATTTTCATCCATTCTTAAGTAATGTTGTGATCTCTTGGGTTCAGTCAATTAAACTATATGATGTATATTGAATCTAAAGAAGAATATATTGTAGAGAAAATTTGAAATGTAATCTTCATCCTGATCTTTAGATCTTTGTGAAAACAGGACCTTGTTGTGAAGTAGATTATTTATAAATTGTATAATTTTGCAGGTTGAATGCTGGTGAGCATATACAGATGGTCACAGCTTTAGCATTACAGTTGATCCAGTGTGTTGTCAAGTTACCTCAGCCAAAATCTGATGATGATCCAGTTGAAGAAGAACAAATTGAAGAGGCTGCAAAATCAAAAAGAGATAAACATGGAAGGAACAAGAGAAAATCAGATCCAGTAAGCTGGTTGTATTTATTGCTTTTTATTTTAGCTAGGTCTTGAGTTATGCAGCAACAGTCAAGAGATAGTTTGACTTACTTACCAGTATTACTTTTTGTGTATGATCTAAGATGTTCCTATATTGGTAGAACCACCATCCTTTCAGAACCTTAATTGCTCTCTACTTTGAAATTTTAACTTTTATACCTACTACAAATGTTTGATTAAAAAAATGTGGGGGAGGGAAAAAAAAAAAAAAATTAAACATGAAAGTTGCTGATCTAATTAGTCAAATGAATTTACTTTAGAAAATCTTTAAAAAGCACAAATACATTTTTATAAATGTGTATTTGATATGACTTCGGTACTTAATGTTCCATTTGCTAGTGATAATCAGGAATTTTTCCAATTATAATTACAGTTGGATCCAGATGTGATAATTGTAACATCATATGAGACTGCAATTAGAACAGGATATAACTTCCTCTCTGTATTTCTCAAAAAGTAAGTATAATTAGCCATAGAATGTGAAATGTTGTAACTTACACATAATTAAATTATATTTTGTATGATTGTGAATGATAGATTGCTTTTATCTTGAAGATTTGCTTATACTTTTATACCCAGGATTAATTATAATAGCTTCCGTGGTCGGGGGTTAGAGTCGATGACTTCTAATCCAGTTACCTCTCTGGCGTGGGTCCGATCCCCGGGAGATGCTTTGGTAGTTTAGCGCGAAGGAAGGTAGTCTAGTACTGGTGTAACTCTCCAGGAACGATGGTTAGGAAACTACCCGCCTATATGACTGAAAAACTGTTGGGAAAAGGCTTGAAATGAAAGAAACAAACAAAGTTCTAACAGAGTTCATATTTTGTAATGAAAATATAAACGGTGTTACATGTACTTAAAAGGAAAAAAAATACTTATAATACTTCATAATGTATTCTTATATATGTAATGTTTTTAGATGTACAGTAAAGGGAGAGGAAGATTATCGGTCGTTGTTTGAAAACTTTGTACATGATCTCTTATCAACAGTGAATAAACCAGAATGGCCTGCTTCAGAATTACTTCTTAGTTTGTTGGGAAGAATACTGGTAATCATCATACACTATACATTATCATTGATGGTTTTTGTGATGTTGTAATCTTAATGCTTTTTGTGAATAATAATATTTTGTTTAGGTACAGCTTTGTATCAATACACAGTTAACCTTTAGCACATGATTGTTGGCTTGTGCTTGAGTGGCATGGAGTTGTACCTGAGGTCTTCCTACACTGGAAAAGCTGAAAAGTCGCTAATACTCAGAACAATGTCACTTAAAAGCTCAACCAAAAGAAAAATAAGATCTTTTGCAGAACAAGTTCAGATTAGAATAAATTAAGAGTCTCATCAATAGAATTAGCTGCTTAACTTAGTGTTAGAAGTATTTTGTAGATGTTACCATAAAATTTAATAAATTTGGTTGGTATATAGATTATATATCTGTAGATACTGAATATTATATCAACAGGTGCAACAGTTCAGCAATAAATCCATAGAGATGTCATTGAGGACATCAGCTTTAGAGTATTTAGGAATTGTGGCAGCAAGATTGCGCAAGGATGCTGTGTCTAGTCAGTTAAGTCAAGAAATCATCGACGATATTGTTACAAAGGTTAACCACGAAAGTGATAAGGAAGATGATGAAGAAGTAAAAAGATCAACGAGAAGTGGCAGGAAAAGTCCCGAGGTTTGTTATTGAATAGCTCATTTTATTATTGAAATGGGATTTAACTAATGGTTTATATTCAATGATAATTCTATGTGGTTAGGTTAGGATTATAATACAGGGGCTATTCTTTGAAATCAATATTTTTGTTCAAGTTTTAAAATGAAGTGTAAAACTATGCTATCTGATTTTTGTCTCAACCAGAATATTCAGTCATTCAATTAAATAATGTCATTAACTTTCCTCAGTCAAAAATACAATGAACAATTTTATAATGTCAATGCTTTTGCATTTCAGGAAGAAGTACAAGAACCAGATGAAACCCAAAGTTTACAAAAAGCTATGCTTGACTACCTCTCATATCACGGTGCCAGTGAACCGGCCTATTTGGTAATGTCCAAGTTTGCTTTGCTTCTCTTACATGTATTTTAATTCAAAATTGACAATTGTCTGAATCCTTGTATTTTAAGTATAGTTAATGAAAATTTGAAGATGTTCCTGGAAGCCTAGGCATGTGCAGTCATCATCCATCTGTTAAGTCACCAAGTGACTGATATCATACAATGAGGTCTGTCATGGGGAAAAAATGCAAAAAATTTATTTGCATTTAACAATTTTTGTCCTTAAATAGTTTTTAACATGAAAGGTAGTGTTGTTATTGGAATATTGTAGGTATGACAGTGTGACTTTGTTATACAAAGCATGTAAATAATATGTTTACATGTAACTTTCAGTTTGCACGCCAGTTTTACATTGCTCAATGGTTCCGAGACACAACCAAAGAAGCAGCAAAGAAACATCAGAAAGCTGATGAGGATTTTGATGCGGAGGAAGAAGAAAAATCAACTGAGAACTTGGCTGACACTGAAGCTAGAACGAAATTTCTGCTATCACAAGTTGAAACCAGCTACAAACCATACTCATCTTACAAGTAGGAACTTTCTTTCAATTTCTTACAACTTCCATCCATTAGATTTGAGATAATGAAAACTTGTTTGGGATTTAAGAAAAATTTAGTGTCAGTTTTACAGTATAGAAATGTGTAATTGTTTTAATTATTCTTTTGCCATTGAGATTCTGAGGGGGGTGGGGACAATAATTATTATGTGGGGAGAATAATATTTCAAAAGGATACCTTTGAGGCAGGGTCAAATTTGATACATTGGGTTCTGATGGTAATCAAAAGGTAATACAGCTGTTCATAACTATATTGTTTTGATTTTTTCAGACCACTTCCAAGTAAATTGGACTATGACAGTGGTTGTTTGGTAGCAAGATACCTGTCTTCAAAACGGCCGTTTGCACAAAGTTTTGATATTTATCTTGGCCAGGTATGTTCTCTTTGTGTTTATTAATTATTGATGTAAATATTCATATACGAAGGTCCCTGTAGACTAGTGCGTAATTTACATAGGACTTTTTTTGTCTCTCTGCTTTTCATTTGAATTCTGCCATGTTGAATAGTTTCTAAATTAGAGAGGTGTGGTGACAGTGTAATATCTTAGATATTAACAGTAAAGAATCATAATTTTTCAGATCTTAAAAGTGCTAGCTGAGAATGCTGTAGCCATTAGAACAAAAGCTATGAAGTGTCTAACATCAGTTGTTGAGGCGGATCCAGGAGTGTTAGCTAGGGTAAGATTGTTTTTTCTTAGAATTTGATTAGCATCAGTGCATTTGCAAACAACCAAGGCAAAGTAAAAGTTATGTTAGTATAGTAAATAGAAGAGCAACACCATTTCTTTTAGATTTAATCTTTTTATTATGACTGTAAAAGAGGTAGCAGTTTTGTCCTGGAATATTTATTGTTTAAAACAAAAAGTTTCGAAATTGGGGGTAAAAATTACTCTAAGAATACTTTTATGGCTTTATTTGCTGATAATTTTTGTTATAGAAAAAATAACACTTATGAAGTTGAATTTTCTTGTTTCATTTTTCAGCCTTTGATATAGAAAAAATAACAAGAATGAAATTGAATTTTCTTGTTTTTCATTTTTCAGCCCGATATGGAAAGAGGTGTTCATGGCAGATTTCTTGATCCATCCACGTCAGTAAGAGAGGCAGCTATAGAACTAGTGGGAAAGTTCATTCTCATCCGTCCAGAACTCATTCCACAGTACTATAACATGCTCTCAGAAAGAATACTGGTAATGATTTTGGTTTAATGATAAGCTTAATAAATAATCGGATAAACCTTAGTACCATAGATTGTGTATGATTGCAGTTATAAATAAAACACTTTAATAAATTGAATATTATGCCTATTGAACAATCAGAAAATCTTCCATTACATTAGCTGTGTATATGTACAATAGTGTTTGGTTGAGATAGTTTGAACATTTGAATAAAATAACATGATGCCTATATAAAAATCTGAGAAAATCTTTAACCTTTTACCACCTTAATATTGTATGTGTTCAAATTTTAAATGAAGTAAAACTGGCCTTGTTTTTGTCAGGTATATATTGAACAGTGTTTAATTAGACTTTAAAAGATATGTATGAGAAATATGCTATTATCATAATTTATTCTTTTAGCATTACTTTTAAATTTTATCATTTCATTTACCATAAATTACTATGTCATTTTAGCATAACAACACTGGAAAATCTTTGAAGAAATAATTGGCTCTATTTACAAAATTCTCTTTCGGAGTACAAAACATTTATTTCAAACCCTGATGAACCATCCATTAAAAGGTCAACTGAAAGAAGTATTTTTTCATTGAACTTCAAATATTATTTCTATGCTATTGAACTTTTCAGGATACAGGCATAAGTGTGAGAAAACGTGTGATCAAAATCTTCAGAGACATTTTCAACGAAAAGCCAGACTTTAATAAGATTCCAGATATGTGTGTTAAAATGATACGTAGAGTGAACGATGAAGATGGAATTAAAAAACTAGTGAACGAAGTGTTTCAAACTATGTGGTTTACTCCATTGAGTTCTAGAGAAAAAGACTCGTCAAAACTTATTCAAAGAGTTGTTAATATCACTGAGGTTGTTGCGGCTAGCAAAGATACGGGTTTTGAATTCATTGAACAATTATTGGACAATTTGTTAAAGAAAGATGAACATGGAAACTACAACAAGTCAGCATTAACGTCGTGTAGGCAAATTGTAGACTGTTTAGTTGAAAATGTGCTGCGGTTAGAAGAAACAAGTGTTGGTGAGTATACTATTTTAAGTATAAATGTCTAAAGGATTGTTTTGACATTCAAATGAAGATTAAAATGGTGTTATAGAAAACAGTTCGAGCTACAGAATGGGAACTATTTCTGTGTGAGAAAGCCCTTAGTTGTTTAAATTAGAAGGCTATTTTCATTATCTTTTTAGTCCCCTACCGGTTTAACCGGAGGGGACTTTAGGTTTACCCTCCGTCCGTCTGTCCGTCTGTCTGTCTGTCCGTCTGTCTGTCTGTCTGTCAGTCCGTCCGTCCACAAAACTGGATCCCGTGATAACGCAAAAAGTACTGAAAATATTTTTATGAAACTTGATATATGGATAGATGGCAGTATGGAGATTATGCACGTCTTTTTTTTTTCTTCCTATGTTGAAAATTCTGGTTGCTATGGCAACAAATAGTCTGAAAATATGGCAAATTTAACACATAAACTGGATCCAGTGATAACTCAAAAAGTACTGAAAATATTTTTATGAAACTTGAAATATGGGTAGATGGCAGCCTGGAGATATGCACATCTTTTTCTTTTCTTCCTATGTTGAAAATTCTGGTTGCTATGGCAACAAATAGCCTGAATTTCAAGATTTCTGATTTAAATTTTTTCAGCTTTTTCACTAAATGTTCTTTATTTTCTTAAGGTGTTTACTTCAAACTTTAAATATAAGTTTCTGGTCATCAACCACATCATATGTGACAAGGTTTATAACTCTAGCACAAAAAATATCAGTATTACCTCCCTTGAACTTAGATTTTTAGGGGAAAAAATGTTGTCTTTTTAAATCACTTCTTTTTTCCTAATGTATCTACTTCAAACTTCATATATATGTTTCTTATTATCAATCGACATTTTTGAGAAGGTTAAATACTCCAGCAAGACTATTTCCAGAATTATGTCCCCCTTGAACTTAGATTTTTTTCGAGAAACTGGTATTTTCACTTCAACTTCTTCATTCCTTATAGGATTTACTTTAAAATCCCACATCGTAATAATATGACAAGGTTGTATAAACATAATTTATAATATTATTATAAATGGCAATACACAGGAGTGTATGACAATTAAAGAACTTTTTGAGGGACCGGTAGGGGACTACTGTATTGCCCGCAATACTATCAAATGCTTGTTAACTTTTTTTTTCCAAACATAATAGCTGCTAGCAATTCACATTAAGATTGTTAGGCATTACAAGGAGAAAAAATTGACTTGAAACCACTTTCCCTGTATGGCTGTGGGTTCTTCTAAGGTGCCCGTTCATGCTTGAAATAATGCAAGCAAGGGCACCTGAGGTCATCCTCCACCAGTTAAGTTGGAATGTCTCTATATGACCTAGGGAAAACAATCAATACAAAATTAAAAAATGTAGATTAATATATATATTTGGTTATGTGCATTGCACATTTTAAAGAGAAAAGAAATAGGAGGATGGGCTGTTGTCACAAATATGAAATAAAAGCAAAAGGAAACATTTTGTATGACAGATACATGTTGGAACATTTTGTATTTCAGATGGTAAATGCAGCAATCGTTTGTCTGCCTGTCTGTCAACATTGTTTTTGTTTGGCAAAATAAAACCAGATCTTATGTTAGAACATGCACAAACTCTCCAGCCATATCTTAATATCAAATGCAGTGTAAGTATTTTATCAATTTATTGATAACAAAAATTTAATGAATTGCTGGATTAATTATTCATGTAACGTTTTTTGTTAATTTTATATTAAACCATATGTGTACAGTGGTGAATCTAGAAACAGATCATTTAAAACACAGTTTGAGTCAGAAATGTTGAGTCAGTAATATAACAATGTATTTGAAAAAAGAACATTCAATGAATTTGTTAATATTATTATAATAAGCTACCAAATCCATAATTGTATGATTATAATGTCTTTACTTGTGGCATTTTAAAGAATTTCAAGAATTTACTACTGGAATATAGAAAATTGATAATTTATTTTCCCATTTTAACCAGAATTATGATAAAAATACCAAGAGAGAAATCATAAATTAGATTTCTTAAATGAGATGAAATTTACACTTCTTGACACATGGACTTGTAAAGGCAAATACATGGAATGGAGTGGAATGGGTAATTCTTTCTTGTAGGTAGTAAAAGTGTTAAATTTTGTTATGAATGAATACAGAGTTAATGACATGTGTGTTTTACTTGAATGGTCTATTTTAAACATTTCAGAATCAGGGTGATTTCTATGTACTACATTATGTGGCAAGGATATTAGAGCTTGTGATACCATTGATGGATCATCCAAGTGAAAACTTCCTTGCTCAGGTAGAGGAGGACATGATCAAATTGATATTGAATCATGGAATGATGGTAAGTTATCATTTCTTACATGCATTGTATTATGAAAAAAAAATGTATGTAGACACTGTTGGTTTAGTATGACCATTACGCTTTGTAAAGAAAGGCAACATCTTAGTGCCATCTTGATTTTTTTCACAATAGCAGAAAATAATTTTGGTGATATGGAAAATGTTATACAAACAGTATATGTTGAAAGCATCCAATTAATGTTAAGTATATTTAACACACAAAAAGTATGTAGAAAGGGAAATTTCATCTTTTGTATGAAAGCATTTTGAGTTGTTGATGTTGGTTTAAACATATTTATTTAAGCTCGATTGGGAAACAGTTCTTGCAACTTATATTAATCACTTTCGAGTCTGCTTCCTGGAACCAATCAGTACTGGTGTCACATGAAGAAACATGGTCGTAACCCGAGTAGGACTTGAACCCATGATCTGTGGGTTGAGAGGCAGACACCTTAACCACTAGGCCACCGCTCCCCTTGAGTTGTTGATGTTAATATTTAGGCTATTTCAGAATTCTATGCGGAGTGAAATAAATTCAAGATTACTTTATCCCTGATTTGTATGCATAGTGTCTTTAATTAAAGATGAAATTTATTTTATTTTACAGGTGCTAGAAAGTTGTGTTAGCTGTTTAGGTGCTGTTGTAAATAATGTCAGTCATAATTATCCTCTTGTTAAAGATTGCTTCCAGAAGTTCTTTGGTAAGATGATTTTTATATCCTAATAATAAAGTATCTTTACATGCCATTGATATGCAAACTAAGGTACTGTGTCATGTATTCATAGGACTGGCTTAAAAAACTTTGTCTTAACCTGCTGAATTTCTTGAGTGAACTTGCCTGTCATTTAGAAAAAAATTCATTATAATTATACTTAAAAGGAAATTTGCAAAGCTTCCAATAAATGGCCATGTCAGGCTGCTCAGATTTGAAGGATATTCTGGCTTTTTACTTATAATTGAAAGGATTTCTTGGTTTGATTTCAACATTGTAAGGTTAAGAATGGCATTGCTTAAGTAGATATATGATAATAGTGTTAGCTCTGGTAATTAAAGCTTCATACTTTCAAGGAAGCAACAAAAGTTTTTAAAACACAATGCATGTATTATTTTCAGGTTATCTAGTGAAGTTTCAGTCGTATCATCAAGAACACCCCACAGTCCCTCTCCAAGGCAACAGAAAGCCAACACTTCTCAGGTCATTGTTCACAGTTGGTCTCATGTGTAAACATTTTAACTTTGAAACCACAGAGTTGCAAGATGATGGGGATGTAAGTTGACATTGTCATATAGACTTTTATTACCTTGGTCTATGAACTTAAAAAGGTTTTCAAACTTTAATATTTAAATTCTCATCTTATTTGCAATATAAGTTTTATAGGTTTAATATTCAGTATGTTTGGCTTTCATTTTTTTTATTTAACTTTTCATGCATTTTTTCTCCAAAAAAAAAAAAAATGTTGTGCTTTTTGTCCTCTATCTTTTTTATGATGACATACTAGTAGATGGAGGAAACTTTGATTTCAACTATTATGCCTTGATTTATATATTTATTGGTCACTGTTCCCTTTGATTATTATGTAATTGTCTTGGTTTGTAGACATCATTAAAAGAGAAGATATTTGATGTGTTGATATACTACACTGAACACCCTGATGAAGATGTGCAATCAAAAGCTCTAACTGGTCTAGGTCAGTGTAAACATATCAAATAGTATCAACTTATGTTACTATAAAAAGGGACTTTTTCCCCCATTTATTTGTATATTGATCTTATCACCTGAATCAAGAGACTTAAATGTTATAAACAGTGGAACAGAATGTTTCAACACGTTTCCCTAAGAGTATTTTACAGCATTTTAATATGATACTACTACATTTAAATCTTAATGTCAAAAGATCTTAGTGATCTAAGCTGTTTAAAATAAATTTTGAATCAACATTATTGAGGATGTGCACTTGGATTCAATGCTGATGAAAGCTGTAGTTTATATATAACCTTACAAAAAGAAAAGAAGTGAATAATGATTGATTTCAATAATTTATTGCAGGTTTTCTTGCTGTTAGACATTATGAATATATGCTGGGAAGGACGCTTAAAACCATGTACAGTGAACACTTAACCAATCCAGATTCTCCTATCAAACTCAAGTGCCAAGTAAGTGACGTTTCAGATGTCTTAATTGTTTTGATAAGAAGCTTGTTTTATTTGTTCATTGTTGTGAGACAAAATATGAGCCGCATCATGACAAAACCAACATAATGCGTTTGCGACCAACATGGATCCAGACCAGCCTGCGCATCTGGGCAGTCTGATCAGGATCCATGCTGTTCGCTAACCAACCCTATCACAAGTAGAGAAACTGATAGCGAACAGCATGGATCCTGATCAGACTGCGCGGATGCGCAGGCTGGTCTGGATCCATGCTGGTCGCAAACCCACTTTATTGGTTTTGTCATGACGCGGCTCATTTATGTTTTATGAATGGATATTGCTGCAGATATAATGATAAATATTTGTTCCTTTACTTTTGATGTCATACCTAAAGATATATGAAGTCATATTTATCTATAAATATTATGTTCTTATTTTCATTTTCAGGTTTTGAAAAACCTTTCCTATTATCTTGTAGAAGAAGAAGTAAGAATGGCAAAGTCAGACGCTGATTGTGAGTTACACATGAAAATATTAATATTGTATTATATTGTCATAAAACTGCTTCAGCATATATAATGTTAGTCAATAAATAATATCAATGAAGTCTCTGTTTCTTGATCGATAAAAAGTTTTCCAAGATTTTCTTTTCCAAATAGATGTGTTTCAGAATACTTGCAACTGAGAAATGCTATATTAGCTAATTTATTTTAACATTAAAGTCTGTGAAAGTTTTTCTGCACTTTTGGTGGAGTTTTCATGCAATTATCAAAATAGTGAAGAATTGAAAGATATTCTAATTTCTTATTGTTTCTTACAGGGAAGAAACATGCAAAGGAAGAGGATCTTAAAGAAATGGGGGATGTGCAATCAGGGTAAGGGAAACAACTCTGGAGGCTTATCTTGAAATTATTTTGAAATCTCATTTTGACTATATACTGTTCTGGTTATTGAAGTCTGTAAAAAATATTTGTTTCTTTAAGAATTTAATCTGTTTATAGTTGCTATATATGTAAGGAGGCCAACTGGATTGGATGATATAAAATTAATCCACTCTGGATGTTTTAAATGGTAGTAAATTAGATGTAGAAAATTCTTGTTTTTTATAATTGCCAATCCAATTATGATTAAAGTATTTATTTCAAAAGAAATAACCAATGGACAAGTATGAATAATCTCTAAGAAGAAAATTATTTGACATAGAAATAAAATATTGAGAAAGGAGTTAAGAGGAACACACATTGACACTTTGGCTGGTTTAGTTTTGGCTTAAGCTTTTTACCATTTTGAATGATGCCATGACTTCTAGTACTATAAACAAAACAAAAAACACAAGTTTTCTTGTGTTGATAAAATGCTGAAAAATATATTGTAAAGTGATACCTTTTATCATCAGTTTATTGAGTGTAGATTTGTTATCATTACAGAATGGCCAGTACCATTATGCAAGTGTACTTGAAAGAGGTGCTGGAAGTGTTTTTCTCAAGCAAGTCGCAGGTTCGACTTGAAGCATTAAATGTGATACAGTTGGTTCTCAAACAGGGCCTCATTCATCCTGTACAGGTAGGTTTAATAAACTGATGTGTTTTCAGTCATTTGTTACCAGTTTACCATTTGTATGTTTTTATATGTAAAATGAAATGTTGGGACTTTCAACATTATCTTAAGTGACAGTTGAACTATTTGCATTTCATGAGTAACAGAATGTTAAGATTATGAAAAGTTGGTTTTACAGAAAAACAGTTGGAAAATCTGTTCAAGTGTAAAGTGGAAAATCTGTTCAGTTTGAGACTTTTTAGCTCATGTTTTGAGGTTTTCCTTGATTAATGTTTTGGGTTCAATTAAACGTGTAGAGGGGTGGGGGACAGCTACTGAATTGTAACATAATCATAACAAAATATTATTTCAAAGATAATTGTCCAGTTATTATCATTCATGAAGTATTGTTCTCTATATTTCAGTGTGTACCATATCTCATCAGCATGGCAACAGACTCTGAAGCTCCAATCAGAGTCAAGGCAGAACAACAGTTGCAGGAAATAGAGAAGAAATATCCAGGGTTTATCCATGTAAGTTACCTGTCTGTACATGGAAAGTAGCATATCTAGATTTCATTTTACAGTTATGATCTTTTATTAATTTAACTGTGAGGGGACATCTCTGCAGGATGGTTGATCACACTTGTCCCTAATTGCTGTTGGATTGAATCCAGCCAGAAACTGAGGTCATGTGAGTAAGCTATTCAGCTAGCTTGTGGTTCTACTAGGGGTGTGCCTGAAATAAACCACAGAGAGGCACTTACTCGACCCTTAACATTTTTGGTTTGATTAAAAAAAAAACGGCATAAATTTATCTGTAAATCATATAGCAGTAATGCGTTTTGTTTTGTTCTGGTTTTGCTATCTAAAGAATAAAGAAAGGAAAACATTGAAAAGTATCATCATTGTGTTGTTACATGTTTCAGAGTAAAGCCCTGCAAGGGATTAAAATGTGCTTCCGTCTACAGCGGCTTATTCAAGGTTCTGAGGGCAACAATTTTGTAGTGAGAGGTCTTCACAACCCTGACGATAACAGTTCAAGTCTTAATGCATTCCTTTATAACATTTTACGAACCAATAGGTCACACCGAAGAGCCATTCTCACCTCATTACTTAATCTTCTAGATGATTCTGCAGTAAGTGGTTCTTTTGTGTTTGTTTTGTTTTCCTCCATATCCATCTGTTCAGCCTTCAGTTTTAATATTGTTTAAGGGTTCTTCATATTAAAGCATCATGTCTCTTGATGAGTAAACACGTGTCACAAAAGTACAACTTCAAAAGATAAATGAAGATTTAAAAAACGTTAAAAATATTCAATACCCATATGAAGTTTTATATAAAATTGTTTTATTAACATATCTCTACTATATGACTTAAAGCGTTCTATTTATTTTTGCATATTTATACACTTCGTGTAGAATTAATAAAGATTTGTAGGAATCTGGAAGTATGCTGCTTAAAGATCCTGAAGCAATTTAGGCGCAGTTTATTCTTTATTACATTAATGTGTTTTCTCGATATTTGATTTATTCATTGTTTGTTCCTTTTGTTACTGTTTTCTTTCTTTAGTAACTTGTTTTTAACTTTTCATTACAGAGAATCAACCTACCAGAACAAATGTACATTGCAGATAACCTTGCCTTCTTTTTATACCAAACTCAGGACGAGCCACTGTTTATAATTCACCAGATTGACATTATAGTGTCAGTGTCTGGATCTAATCTGTTACAGTCTTTCAGAGAGGTTTGTTATTTTGTTTTCATGTTGAGAGAAGGGAAGCAGTTGTGTACTGTATTGAAATAAAGTGGCATGATTATGAATAGTTTTTGCATGTAATTATTTTGTTGTCATAGTGCTGGCTTTTTTCAAGATATTATTTTGGTAGGTGTTTTTAAAAAATGGTATTTATAGAATCGATAATGCATGCACTGCCTTAGTTATAAACAAGTTTTGACGACCTACCAGCCTCAATCATTTCTTCATGAGTTCAACAGCAATTGAAATCATGAACAGTCATAAAGTATAGGAATTTAAAAAATAAAAAAATATTTTCTTAGAAATATAGAAATAGATTTGTGTGGAAATAAAAAAAAGGTCATAGTGAAAATTGCTTAAGAGTACAGAAAGGGTAAAATTTCTTTTCAAATACTGAAATCAATTTGCATGAAAATATTTGAATGGAAAAGAGAAAGTTGAATTTCAAGCTAATGAGGGACAGCATGGATATTAAGAAGTAATGATCTGATTTGATTTGTGACTGGTAGTGTTTATGTGGGCAAAAAAACAACACAATTTAGTCTCTTAACTCTTAGCCTGAATCTACCCAAGGACCAGTGTTGACCAGTGACAAATTCCATCCATGCGACCAATGCAGATTGGTAACAAAATCTACCAATGTATCAAATGCAGACCAAGATCAGCAGGCACATTGATGCCACCTGATCATGGTCAGCACTGTTCACTATTAAGTCGGTACTTTTTTTGGGAAATTTTCTTTAAAAAAAAAGGATGAATGATTTTCTCCAGATTGAAAGACGGACAATTCCACTTTAGAGATATACCAGGGTAAGGGTTTAGGACTATGATTGTTGTTGTTATTATTTTGTATGCTTTTACTTTTATTTTATTCCTTTACTTGTAGAAGCTGCAGTTCAAAGACAACAGATCCAGAAAAATGGTACTTATAATATTTTATCTTAATAAGAACCTCATTTTATCAAAATTACTTAAAGAAATATATATATTAACATAAAAAGGGGTCAAATTCATCTTAAAGCAGTTTCTTAGTAACAAGTTTTCAGAGTTTAAAATCCTAGCAAATTCTTAGTTGGTGTGTTTTTAATAGTTTTTGCTCCTGAAAGTGATATTTGTAATTTTTATGTCAATTGAAAATAGAAGAAAAGTAAAAAGGAAAAAAGCAACAATGCTGTACGTACCACACGGTCAAATAAGGTAAAACTGTTTAAAAGAGATGCTTGAAATGTTACAAAGTTGAATTGTGACGGTTATAAAGTTGAATTGTTACAGTTATAAAATTGAATTGTTACAGAAATTTGAGTTTTCACCGTTATGAAAATTGAATTGTTACTGTTATGAAATTGAATTGTTACAGTTGACTTTAAGTATTGTTTTCTGTTGTTCATTCCTGTATGCTTTCAGTTGAGTTTTTTTTTTTTTCCTTTCTATTTATTCCTACTTTGCACTTTTTTCTTATTTTATGCTCCTCTTTATTTTGTTATTTTTAATTATTTGTTTATCACCAGGCATAACATGCTCATTGTAAGACATGCTCATTGTGAGCTTTTGTGATCACTCTCTGTCCGGTGGTTTAGGTGGTCAGCAATTTCTTTATACAACATCTCTGATACTAATGACCGGATTTTGACCAAACTTAACAGGAATGGTATTTTAGTACTTATGTTAAATTTACTACCTCCCCAGTTATCATGAGTTTTCCTGGTTTGTATATTGTAAACATCTGTCTTCTCTGAAATCCCGAGGGCTAGAGCTAAGATAGTTAGCATGAAACTCAAAATTATCTAGTGCACTTCCACTAAGACTGTTTTAACTTTTGGCTCTAATGGGTCAAAGTTGTCTCTGCCCCTGCCTTAGAAAGCCCAATGACTGGAGTGTAGATAGTTGGCAAGAAATATAGTTTAGTTGAACTCCAACAAGGTTGTTCAAATTATTGTTTAGGGGTCAAAATTGGCCTGCCCATGGATGGGGGAGATCATGTGGTTTCCTTTTATGAATAAAACTATAATTCACCTTGTCAGAAACTGCCATTCCAAGGGTTTCATATTTGATATGAAGCATCATCTTGAGGTCGACTATATACAATGTCCAAATTATACCTTTTGGGCTTGAATTTGGCCAAGCCTTAGTGGTCATCTATGTTAAACTTTTATAGGGAAAACTTTGAAAGAAACTTTTCTTTGCTATTACATTTATGATACATTAACATTACATCATTGCAAATACATGAGGCATCCGTGGCCAAGTGGTTAAGGTCACTGATTTCAAACATCTTTCCCCTAACTTTTGTGGGTTTGAATCCCAACTGAGACTTTGGAATTTTAAATGTAACAAGGCTATCCAGTTAGCTTATGGAATGAAGGTGATTCTACTTAGTTACCTGTTTGTGCCTGAAATAATGCACAGAGGTCTTCCTCCACCAGTAAAACTGGAAAGTTGCCAAATGTTGCCTATACTGTTTTGATGCCACATAAAACCGAACAACAGCATCAGTCATTACAAATGTTATTCACAAAATATTTAGTCCTCAGGTGAGCATCTTGATCTCAATGGCTGATAATATTTGTAAAAATCAAAAAGTAATTATGTTGATGAGACAGATTTGCATGACTAAATCTCTTACTATGCTGCCAATGTAGATAAGCTTATGTTGGGAAAATACTGCTGTGCTGAACAAACAATCATGACTTCAGTAATTATCAACTATCAGTAATTCTCTATCATCAACTATCTTTTTATTGTTTACATAATGATTAATTCAGCTGATTTTTTATGCTTTGTGAAAATCCTTATAATTGCTCAACAGTGACAAAAAATTTCCACCAAATATGGCATGTAATATTACATTTTCCAGTTGTTTATGTGTAATTTATTTAAGAAACATAACATTGACATACTTTTAATTATATTTTTTTCTCACTGCAAAATGTAAGGTTCATATTACTTAACCTTGCATGTGATTCTTCCGATATATTACTGTTTTGGTTGAAAATGAGTGACACTTCAATGATTGATTGGTCAGAATTCCTCTTAGTCAAGAGGTGTTATATTAATGCTGTTATAGAACATACTCTTAACAATCGGGATATGTGTAATATTTATTGAAGTGTTATTTAGCATGGAAACTTGTGCAACTTTGAAAAAATCTTGTGTGGCTTATAGGTAATTAAATGCTTAAGTCTTCAAGCACTTGGGGGAAGTTGTACAAAGCAATATGTGTATGATATTACAATAGTTGTGTATGTACTATATTTCAGATGCTGTCCAATCCACATGCTACTGAGAATGGTGTACTTAATGACAAACCAACCATGTACTATGATGAAGATGATGATGACAAAGATATCTTACTTAGTAAGTTATTATTACTTAAAGCCAAGATTTAGTTGGTCAAACCCTCATTTAGATTTATTATAATCAATAGATTCTATGGAAAAAAACAACAAGAAATCTTACACTGCTGCATATTTTACTCAACAATAACAGCAATAACACTCGTTTAAATGGATTTGGAAAGTTATTTTATGTTCAGTACCCTAGTAAGTCTGTATCAGGGATAAAAAAAAATGGATGTGTTGTATATTTACAAATATGGAGTGCCTTTAATGGTTGAAATGATTATATAGTTTGATAAAATATATTGAGAAAATATTGCAGTACTAGGATTCTGCACCACAGTGACACTGCATTACTATATACCAGTTTATTGTTGCAATTTAGAAAAATATATATATCGTATAGAAGTCTTCAATATCCTCTTTCTTAATTGAAAAAACAAAACAAAACGAAAAAAACGTGATCATTTTAGTTTGATTCGTGAATTTATGTTTATTCTATTAAAAATAAATCAATGTATCGGTGCAAAACGCACTTAATTTCCTTCATTATGTTACATGAGTTACAGCTGTTTTTGCACCAAACCCTTGAAATTTTATTTACTCTGCGAAATATATGATTGTATTTTACATGATCTACATTACAGGCCGCTTACCCAAAGACATAACCCCTCTCAAAGAAATCATCTGGATAGCTCAAGGTTGCATCCTCTTGTTATATCTAAAGCAGCATCTCAAAGATATGTATGGATTTACTGATGGGTATGTATTGTTACAGTATTCTTGTGATTTAGAAAAGATGAATCGCAATATTTGCAACACAAGTTAAAGTGAAGAACAATTAAAAAAAAAAAAATTGTCTTCAATATGATTATGTGTTTTATAAACAGTTTCTTTCTTTACTGTGGTAAAAACAAATATTCAGAGGTATTCTTCAGTAAAACTCAAATTAAAAGAAAAACACAACATTTCACCTTTCTACAATATTGGTTTTCAAAGATTTTAGTATGTTTATATATTGATAATTAAAAGCCTTCTGTTTTGAAATGCAGTGCTTAATATGTCTGAAGTTGTTTAGGCTTATTATTTCTCAGAAATTTGAAGGTCAAAGATTTATATTCAGGGCTGCCGCTTTTCCACGGATCCGCGGATTTCGTGAGCTCCTGGGTTATTTTTGAGATCGATGTTAATTCGACAAAGACAATAAATTCATTCGTCATATTTTATACAGTACCCAAAAACCGGCACGCTTCGGATTTTATCGTTACGCTAGCCGCCTATGGTACGTCTGTAAGCGCTTTTCTCATTGGTCATATCGAGTCTTTTCCGGCATTCTATTTTAGAATAACCAATCAAATTACAGTTTACATTGTCGCTCTTGTCTGTTGTCAAAATGTCGGATATTTTTTAAATTTAGAGTCCAGGAAATTGATTTTAGGGCATACCAAATCATCAGAATCCAGGAGCTTCCGGGGGCTTTGCCCCCTGGTCCCCCACCAGGGCTCTGCCCTGGACCCGCAAAGAGGGCTTGCGCAGCCACCTTGATCCCCAGTGTATTTTCCACTGATTTTGCAATTTGCTGTTGGCAGCCCTGTATATTGTTACTAGACAGTCGGTCTGTATTTTGTCTTGTAAAATACTTCTTTTGATCCATATGAGAAATATAAATATGAATGTGTTTTACAGTAAAATCCAGAATTATTCTCCCACTGAGGCAGCCAAAGTGTACGACAAACCATTACAACGTAAAGCTCTGGTGAAGTTCAATCCAGAACAAGTGATCCATGTTTTACGTAACAAAGAAAAGAACGAGGAGAAATCGTACGAGGAACAGGCCGATCAGCTTGTTGATGATTACCTAGCTGTAAGTTAAAATGTTTGTTAGTTTGAACAGAAACAAATAAATTTTTTCATTCTTCAAAAAGGTCAAACGATTTATAATGTTATAGTTATGGATTAAGAGCGTATGAGATGTTCATCACCTGAAGAAAGTAGTGCTGCATGTAAAATTACTTGCGTAAGAGTAGTAAAATGTAAACAAAGTAGTATTTTGACTTCAATACAAAATACACTTATACTTAAACCATTCTTATTACAAAAGGCACCAGATGGTTCAAGTAATTGGCCAATGAGTAACGTTTTTGAAACTGTAATGTGACACCAAATTTAAAAAGATTTTGAGAAATATAAACATTTCTGGGACATGCTGAGCTTTTAAGGCATGAGTTTCACTGTCTAGTTTAAAATATCTTTGCCTTACATTGATAGTATCTATAGTCACATATAAATATGTACTTTGTTAAGAACAGGTCTTAACTTCAGGACCTTTATGAAGTATTTTTCAACAAAAGCAATTTCCCATAAATACTACTGTAGGGATAAATATCAACTGGTTTTCCAGTCAGTTTTTGAGATTATTTCCCCTTGAATATAAATATCTTTACTATCTAAAGAACTATATGGCTGTGTGCTTCTTTGTTATTAACTTTTGCACTAGATCTGATAACTTGGTAAGTCATTTTTGTCATCAAAAGTCTGAATCCTTTTGTATTTTCCAGTTCAAAGATCTCATGTTAAGTGTAGACCCACCAGATGAAGACGACAGTGAAGATGATCAAACTACTAAACTGTCTACCACATACACTATAAAATCAAAGCCCGATGGTGGTGGAGGCGATGCTGGGACCACAAATCACATAGAAAATGGTGAAGACTCAAAGAGCAACGCAGATGTTATAATGGTTGATGGTGAACATGGAGACGCTGACCATGTCAACTTAGATAAAGAATCTCCTACGGTATGTAAACTCATTTTTTGTACTGTATAATAACAGGTTTGAATTACCATGATAAAAAAGGCTTGTGTTACCATGATTAAAACCAAACTTTGTAGTCTGGTAGAACTTGAAGTATAGTGAAAATGGAACCATATTTACTGTGCAATGTAACTAGTTTAGTTACACTAAATTAGCAAAAAAAAGTAAAAAAAACATTTAGGTAAATTTGCTGACTGGTTTACGGTGCAATTTGTTGACTGTCATTTAATTATTTGATGATATGTTTCAGGTTGAAAGCTTTGAAATATTGTTAATGCACTATCAGATTCACTTGTTGCATTGGTAGCATTAAAGGAAATGTAACTGTCACAGACATGTGGCATGTACTAAAATCTAAATTTTGATAAAATTTAACAAGATTAAAATATTTTGATGACAAACTTTTGTGTGAATTATAGATTCTAATTCCATACAAATATTACATGAAATAAACTAGATAATTATAATTTTATAAGGGAACCAGATTCACTGGAATTTCTTGAAATTAATATGATACCCGGAGTTACATTATATAATTAAGAAATAATATATCCCAAACTGTGATTTCATTGCTCAATCACATCACTGTTTGGAGTTCAGATGCGGGGAATTATATCACAAAGCGTAGCCCGAGTGATATAATGATGCGCATCCGAACGACAAACAGTGATATTATCAAGCAATAAAATCGCAGATTTGAATATATTATTTCGATTCTAACATGACATCAACAAATAAATGCTGCAGTCCACGATAATTAGCTAAATTGCACCTGATTTGTTATCGTACTTCAGCGCGTCATATTTTTAGTGGTTACGTCACGTGTATAATGATTACGTCACATATCTAAATATAGAGCGTCAAACTGTGATTTTATAGCATAATAAGACACACTTTCGGTTCTTCTATGTTCAATAGGGAAAAATGTGGGTCGTGTTAGAATATTTCATAAATGGGCCTCAGTGGCCAGGTGGTGAAGGTAAACAACTTTAAATCATTTACCTGTCACCACTGTTGCTTCCAAACCTGTCTGGGACTGTGTTCTTTAATGTGAGATCGCTATCCAGCTAGCTAATGGAATGTCCTTGTTTCAACATTGCCACCCACTTGTGTCTGAAGTAATGCACATATAGGGCATTGAGATCTTCCTTCACAAGTACAGGTGGAAAACTGATGTATGGTATGACTTTAAATCAAACAGACATGTTATTACATTATTTTCTGTTTTCAGGATCCTATGAAACCAAAAATTCCTCCAATGATAATATCAACTTCAAAACTGAACACTCCTGTACGCGAGAAAGAGAAAAAGAAAGGATCATTAGTGCGGACTATAAGATTACCAGGGGCTTCCCAACTACAAGCCTCAGCACATAACTTTACATCACCTGTACATAGTCATTCATCCCATCACACTTCTCATCATTCATCATCATCGTCGTCAAGATCTCATCACCATAAGACACCTTCATCGACACATAAAAAGAAGAAGAAGAAACGGAAACGATACACATCGGACTCTGACGATGATAACGATAGTGATTATGATCCGTATGGTTGATTATTCTGAAATAGTCAAACAGATGTGATAAAATCAGGTGCAAATAAATCTATTGTGATGGTACTGTGAAATATATGTAGATCTATCCTGCATAATGTGAAAACATGATAATGTTGCAATGATACACACATTAATTCGCATTGAAGGGAGCAGAATTTACCAAAATATTTTTATGGAACCATGTAAAAGCAGTGAAGAGCACAGTGTGCATTATGGGTAAACATTGTGGATGCTGTTTCAAAGGCCATAAAAAGAGGTGTCTTCTTGAGAAATCCGTTTGCACAGCTAAGTTCTTTGAATCAGAAGCAGCTGTTGGTCAAAGGAGAGGGGAAGTCAGAGACTGGGGTAGTCAAGTGTAAAAAAAAAACAATGTGTGGAGAAAGAAAAAGGAGAAGCAAACTGGTTGAGCAGTTGTGCCAAAAATATTCCAAACACCAATTTGATTGTTTCTTGTGAATTAACCAAGTATCAGGTTTTTTGTCTGTGATTTCTTAAATTTTATGTTTCAAAGCAAGAAAATCTTCTGCTGACCTGTCTTTCACTTAATGGAATACTTAATTATAAGCTAAAAATGAAGATAACTGGAAGTTTTGACATAAAATATGGTACTTAAGCCTGTCTGATGTTTAACTTTATAACAATATTTTCACTCTAAATTTGTTATGATAAAAAAAATATTTAGATATTGGTTAGATATTTTGTTTATTTGAAAATGCTTTTTCTACTTTAAGAGGAAAACGTGAAATCTGATATAAGAAAACTATACTTTTGATTGGAAATTGTATTTACTATGCAGCACCTTTTTTGGCAGATACTTAATTGCAATGTGGATGTAGTGTTTAATTGTTACCAGTATTAAAATTATTTTAAAATGAATAAATTTATAATTAATTTATATGAATTAAATTTTAATCAATTGAAGTTTTTTATGTTTTGAAATTTAATATATATTTTAATGATGATCTTCAGATGATAGACTTCAATATGAAAATACTAAGACATATGGATTATAGATTTGCATGAAATACAATATATTAGAAATACAATATATTAATAGCTTATATTCTTTGCCTAAATTAACAGAGGTTTAACAAGGTTTTGATTTATCTACTAGGGAATATTTGTGTTAGAAACAGTTGTATCTATTGAATTTTCTTGATTTTGCTCTATTTGAACATAACACATATGGGGAATCAAATTGTGCTTTTGGTTGCTTTTGAGTTTTTATATCCAAACTGCTTCAGCCCTCAAGTATATTTGGCTGCCTACGAATGCCTGTTAAGTCTGGGTGTAGGGGCGTGTTTTCCAAGCTAGTTTATTTTGTCAGTAAGATTATAAGAGATTGGTTAAGGTAAGATTTGTCTTCTGGTCTCTGGTTAATAAAACAACTTGTGCATTGACATAGAATATGTTAAGGCTGTTTATGATACTGCTATTATTTGCTCGCCACCGTGACTGAATTACTTACAGAGTAAAGGTGTTTTAAAAATATAGTAGTCCTAAAACGAAGCATGTAGGTTAAATGCTTCTTCAAAAAGTCTTATGTTTGCATTTGAATTGCATAATTAGCCAAAAATGTTCAAAATTTGCAGCATAAATAATATTTTATGATGCATTAATGCAGCTATTCTTGTGTGTATGTTTATTTTTTGTCTGTCAAAAGTATTTATTGTGACTGTTTATTAGAAATCTTGAAAAAGGTTGAAATGTTGAATATAATTTTAATTATATGAAATGTTATATTAAGCAAACTCTTTGTTTTAAGAATTTACGTTCGAATGTCATTTTAAGTATGCAAACTGCTGCAAAGTTTACCATGAAAATATTTTTATTGGGGTGTAAGAAGTTTGTGTTCATTTTAAGCGTTAATACATATTTTTTACCTTTGTAAAGAAGAAATATCATCGTTCGTCATTTGTCTATAAACTTTCATGAAATCATATCGTCATTTCACCACATATTTATTTGAATGTTTTAAGAATTTGCAGAAGTTAACATTTTCATAATCATTGTACTTGTTCAGTTCGATCAGTTCTGCAATTTGCAGCTAAATTGACAAAAAATATAAACTGAAAAATAAAAAAGAACAAAAACCTTTATTGCTGTATTCTTTTGTGATTTATTCATCCACGCTCCTTTGATAATATTGCTAGTGATTAACCATGGTTGTTGTCAAGACATTCATGTATGTATAGAAGTGTCACAACATTCCCATCTTCCATTTACTTGTCTTTGCCTAAGGTATTGAATGATGCAGGACATTGTGTGAACAAGCTTGAAACAAAAAAATGAGAAGTTCATTTCTTGAACCACTGGCAAATTGTTATGAAAACACTTGTTTTGTAAACTGTAATAAAAAAAGGCAAAAACCAGACTATTCCTATCCGATTTTAATGATCTGGATTTTTTTCACATATAAGAACTGTCAGCCTTGACAGAATGTGTTGGAAGGGATTCTAGCTTTTGTCTAAATCAGAAAAACAACAAAGTTATTATGTACCCACCCGGTGTGTTCCATACTGTTGCTCTTATTAAAAGTGCTGAGCTAGAGACAACTAAACTTTACAGGAATGTTGATCAGCATATTTAGTTGTGCACCTGTGGTTTTGCGTGTTGATTGGTTCAGTTTTGATAATAATTTATGCCCTTTCAACTTGTTGCATGTAGCCCTAAAAGTATTTGACAGTCTTGAAACTACAGAAATGATGGTCAGCATGCGTAGTTAAGCACCTGGGAGTTTGCTTGTGCAATTATTCAGTATTTGTAGGGTTATTGCCTTTGACTTGGTAAAAATGTGTAATTTTCAACATTATTGCGCATAACCCAAAAAATATTTGACCTACAGAAATGATGGTCAGCACGTGTAGTTGTGCACTTAGGGGTGGGGTGCTTGTGCATCTATTCAGAATTTGTAGAGTTATGCCCAAACAGTTCCAAAATGTTGTCACGTGTACCTCTAAGAGTTCTTGAGCTGGAGTCCTGAAACTTTACACAAAATTTGGTCAGCATGTGTTGTGCACCTGGGACAAAACTGGAAAGTGGGGGCATTCTGTCCTATGGGCATATTTCTAGGTTTTGTTTTTAATTTCTAATTCAAGAGTATTGGAATTCAAAAACCAGGCATTTGGAAATTGATTGGCCCAAGTTCTTTTGATTTCTGGCCGATAAGACTGGAGCTCAAATCAGTCAATCATATTTATCATTATGTTTTCGTTTTACAGATTTTTCAAACAATTAAGGTTTACAGGTCACTATAACCAAAAATTCAGGTTAAGCTGTAAGATTATTGTCCACAAACAAGGACTATTTCTGTCGTCTTGCGTCTCCAACAATAAAGCCTTGGTCGGATTTATCGTCTTAGTTACCAAACTGCAATTAAGTCCCCTACCAAATCACACATTAGGGACCTCCAGAGAGCTTTATATGATAATAAGAAATAGATATTTTCAAATATGGTCTTCATTATTCATAAATAGTTCTCAGTTATACTTGTTAGTCCCCTACCGGTTTACCGGAGGGGACTTTAGGTTTACCCTCCGTCCGTCCGTCTGTCTGTCAGTCCGTCCGTCCACAAAACTGGATCCCGCGATAACTTGAAAAGTACTGAAAATATTTTTATGAAACTTGGTATATGGATAGATGGCAGTATGGAGATTATGCACGTCTTTTTCTTTTCTTCCTATGTTGAAAATTCTGGTTGCTATGGCAACAAATAGGCTAAAAATATGGCAAATTTTACACATAAACTGGATCCAGTGATAACGCAAAAAGTACTGGAAATATTTTTTATGAAACTTGACATATGGGTAGATGGCAGTCTTGGAATTATGCACGTCTTTTTCTTTTCTTCCTATGTTGAAAATTCTGGTTGCTATGACAACAAATAGGCTGAAAATATGGCAAATTTTACACATAAACTGGATCCAGTGATAAAGCAAAAAGTACTGGAAATATTTTTATGAAACTTGACATATGGGTAGATGGCAGTCTTGAGATTATGCACGTCTTTTTCTTTTCTTCCTATGTTGAAAATTCTGGTTGCTATGGCAACACATATACTGAAAATATGGCAAATTTTACACAAACTGAATCCAGTGATAACTCAAAAAGTACTGGAAATATTTTTATGAAACTTTACATATGGGTAGATAGCAGTCTTGAGATTATGCATGTCTTATCTGTTCTTCCTTTTTTGAAAAAATATCAGTTGCCTTGGCAACAAATAGGCTTAAAACATCATTACATGGCAAATATAACAATATTTGTGATAAGTCAAAAAGAGCTGAAATTTTTTATGAAATTGCATCTTTAATTCAAGAGTTATCTCCTCTTTAAGAATTTTGCTTTTAAAATGTTATATTTTGGTAACAGGGATGTTTCAAATATTAACTTTAGAGTGTCCTTCAGTCCGTCTGTCTGTCTGTTCATAAAAACTGTTTCCTGTGATCACTTTTAAAGAACTTTTCCAACAAGTTTACTTAAAATAGAGAAAAATTGAAACATAAGTGAATGGCCAATGGCCCTTCAGAATGTTGATGGGGTTCTAACCGGTAGGGGACTTATGGATTGCTTGCAATACTATGATAATTGCTTGTTTTATTTAGTTCTATTCTCGTCTGATATTCGAGCAATATCCTTTTCTTCCTCGAAACCGTTTACATGTCTGGACAATACCGCCTGACTTGGTATTCGACCACATACTTTGACATGACACTTGATTCACACGTCTATATCATCTCTGAAGCCCAGCGCTGTGTTATACTGACTTATAAAACGTTTATTTATGCAGCCAAATATTGATATTTCTGATAAATTGCCCGAAATTAGACAACATATTTCTGTGAAGGTCATTAAAACTAGATTATTTCTTTAATGACACACTACAAGCCTCAGCACATAACTAATATCAATATAAAACTGAATTATTTGTTAAATATTTTGTTTCCTGGTATTAATTTGCCTTATAGTGAATATTACCCCGCTTCCGGAGCACTATTTAATTTAGTTCGAATAGGTTAGCGCTCACAGTGTTACGATTAGACTTTCCGCGTCAGAACATGATTTTTTTCTAGTTATGAAATGGCACTATGAATAATTATGAATTACTTTTCTTAAATCTTTCCTGTCAATCTGTTTGATAAACCACTAAATACATGAAATTTTAAGTTTACATCAATAGTTTTACGGCTTTTAACTGTCGGTTTATTTCAATCGGTAGAGCGCTGGACTGTAAATCTGGCGACCCGGGTTCGATTCCCGAACAGGATAGGTCACTTTCGTTGTTATTGATCACGATTATGATTATATAACCCAATACCCACGGGTATGTGATAAATATTTAAACGGACGTTGTGTCATTTGTTTTGTTTTTTCGGTTCCGTCATTTGTTTTGTTAAAACGTCGATTTATTTCATGCTTTACAGTGTTTTATTGTATTATATCAGATGATTATATTCTGATAAACCACTAGTGAAATTTATAAAATATAATTTTCACTGTAGCCGGACTATATCTGAATGCGGATGAAAAGAAAATCATAACTGAATGGAATAACAGGCAGAAATATATGCCATAATGCGTAAAATTTTGCTTCTTTAGGAAAAGAAAGTCGATGTCACCATATATTATGTTAAAAAAATGTAAACAAAATTATAGAAATGTAACAGAACTATATTTCAAAATTGTTGATGTGACATCATGATGTGATGACGTCACAAAGGTGAATGCGCGACGATACGCGGCAAAAATCAGCAAAAAATTACTTAAAATCACTTAAAACGCCTGAAATAAAAAGAAATTTATTTGTTTTACATATAGATTGAAATATATTTCATTCGTGAACACCAGCTATTATATTTTCACTCGTGGCTACGCCCACTCGTGAAAATATTGCATCAGGTGTTCACTCAGTGAAATTATATTTCAATCTTACATGCAAAACAAACAAATATCCTCTATATATTATATAATTACTGTGGCGCCGTTAAATGTCGCAACGCCGCTAAATGTCGCACTTGCCGCTAAATGTCGCACCATTGCCGCTAAATATCGCAACCGCCGCTAAATGTCGCAAAAATCATTTGCCGTTAAATGTCGCAATTTAAACGCTAAATGTTCGCACGAATTTCCCTTACCTTTAAATGTCTTTCAACACTACCGTTAAAATGTCGCAAGATGTAAATTCATGTTAAAAATCATGATTAAAGTAGTATTATTACATGTATTAACTTTTTAACATTCTCATAGTTATTTTTTATTGTAAAATTTCCATTTTTGGGTTTTACTTGTTTTCTTTTATGAACCTAAATATCGAGGTTTTTTTGAAGCTGCTATATAATGTAAATCTTTAGGCTAGGAAACTAAAATTCCCAATAGATAAGTATTTTTTTTTTGTTTTTCCCATTTTTCATTTGTAAACCCTGATTGACAACAGATTAAAGGTATTTTGGTATTGTCGCTCTCAGAATTTGGTTTAAGTAATTTCATTTATTTTCCCAAAAAACACTACCGAATTTACTTTAAAATGTGG